AAGCACCGTCTCCACCACAGAGCACCCAACCACGAGCAGTTAGTAAGGCAACTGCAGTGCCCAAAGCACGAGGACCACCACTCCGAACACCAAGTCAACGCTTAAAGCAGAAGAAGAATTGTTCTCATGTCAGGTTCCGTAGCTATGGTTCATACTACTTTGCTCTTGCATCACTGTATTTACTCATACCAACTAATTTCAAATTTGAAGGATGCAACTGAAACTCCAATGGCGCAACAGGTATGTTTTAAACCTGTTTCTTTAACGTGTTTGCTGTTGTAACTTGCTCTATGTTGATTTCAGTTTCGATTGAATAAACAGTTATGTTCTCATGCCATGCACATTACAAGTGTTATTATTGATGTGTAGTTTCCCACACTTATATTCTTTCTATGCTGCTTTGTCTTAAATAGATATGATTCGAACTATATCTATCTTGATTTGGCAACATAAACTAGAATGATATAGACCATACAGTGACCATACTACATAAATATATGTTTGTTCCATGTTGTTATCCTGTCCACCTTCCTACTGAACTGGTTTACCAAAATGAGTTTCATATACTACATTGTAAACATGTGATGTGTTTGTTTGTTTCTCCTTTAGAACACGGATAAAATATTGGAGAAGAGTACCCTGTTATGCAATGTTAAAGAAAGTAATGCAGATCAGGTTCAAGATAGTGAGACATCCCTGTTGTTCTCCAACAAAGCTGATAAAAACTATATTGAAGACACTGAAACAACCCCAAAGTTCTGTCTTGATGTAGTGTTCGAGTTACTGGCTACTACTGTTGGCACCAGCTCTTCGAACTCGCTGCCTGAATCAGTTCGGCTTCTTGAGTCTCAACTTCAAGTTGAAAGACATCGATCAGATGTTATGCGATAGGAAGCCGAAGGACTGAGGAAGTCCCTGCAGAATTCAGATGCATACTTTCTGGTGCAACAGCAAGTGCTGGAGGATTTAAGCGCCAAACAAGAGAAAGTTAATAAGCTTGCTAAGCATCTTGCCAGCATTATGGGTACCCAGGATATTGTTTCTTGAGCTCTTCTGAAGTGGTTTCAGTTCTGGACTTGTTTTGCTGCGGCGTTTATATGCTGCTTTGTTCCCTATATTTGCACTTGTGGAGAATTTGATGCCCTGTGGATGTAATATGTGTAATAGCCATGATAGCCTAGCGTAAGTTGCTTGCTTATTTATTTTTGTTGTCTTGTTTATTTGTTTTCTTGTAGTCAGTGTAGTTCTTTTTCCGCGGTTTACTAGTGGCCGCAATAACCTATTTTTTAAAACTAGGCCACATTAACAATGGGCTACATATTTACTGTAGTTAACATGGGCCTCCTACGGTCCGTAGAAACAATGGGCCTTCTAAGGGCCGTAGAAACAATGGGCCTTCTACGGGCATAGACACAATGGGCCTTCTACGGGTCGTATCATCAATGGACCTTCTATGGGTCGTATGATTGGTTGGCCAAACATGGGCCAATAACAGACCACATTATGGTCGTAAATGGGCTAGAGTCGAAACACCCGTTCATGGGCCGACCATAACGGGCCGTCGTTAATAGGCCGTATTTGATGACGCTCTGAAAACGGCCCAACGTATTAACGGGCCACAAACGGGCTGACTGTAACCATAGGTTGTATTTGGCCCACAAGCAAAAAATGACAGTAACGGGCTGAAAGTAAACGAATGCTGGAAATGAGCCCAAGCATAAAAGGGCCCTGAGAAGGCCTAAAGATAACATGGGCTGGAAACGGCCCAATGGAATAATGGGCCGTTAATGGGTATAAAGTGATACACTATTCATTACGGGCCAGTTTTACCGCGGGCCGTTAATGGGACGAGGGTTACTAAGGGCCTCATATGGGCCAAAATACATCATGGGCCATACATGGGCCGGAAGTTAAGACGGGCTAGAATTATATTGGACGGCCCAGATGACGCTACTGGGCCCAATTCGGATAGGCCGTAAACAGGCCCTGGGTTAGCGGGCTGTAAATGGGCTATATGCGAACAGGCTGTTAACAGGCTTGTCGTGGGCCGGCCCGCCACCTTTTGACAAAGTCAAACAGGCCGGCCTTTTCACAGGAATGGGCTCTGTTGGGTCGTGCCACGTGTCGACGTGTCATAGGCGCTTTGGGTCCAATGAGTGGATGACATCTGTCCCAACGGTGAGCCGACACGTGTTTCCTACAGCCAATGATGATTTTACACGTGGAAAATCCCCATTGGTCGGGGGTGTTAACGGGTTATCGGATCCAAAACCGGACCCGATAGCTTAACGGTGTTCTGTTACGGTGGATGTGACGTGTCGGTCACCCTTGACGAAAGCACCTATGTGACGCGCGATTTATCGTCATGGAAGTGGACACTTCCATGATGATAATTTTGGTAATGTCATGGAACACTTCTACGACAACACAGGTATGACTATCTTGATTCTGTCGTAAATTTGTCATGGATGTACATGCATGACAGAAAACGTGACCTACTGTGACAAACACGTATCATCACGGAAGTGTATTTTTTTGTACTGATGGTGGCTAACTTACGAGTACAAGAATAAGATGAGAAACTTCGCAACGGTCGCAAACTAATAATGATCAAGAAGTGATCCTGAACTACTTACGTACAAACATGACCCAACTATGTTCTCTTCTTGAACGCACCCGAAAAGAGACAGTCAAGGTTACACACGCGGTTGGTGTATTTTAATTGAGTTTAGTTCAAGTCCACTACAACCGGATATTAACAAATTCCCATCTGCCACATAACTGCGGGCACGACTCTCGAAAGTTTAAACCCTGCAGGGGTGTCCCAACTTAGCCCATGACAAGCTCATGATCCGTGGAGACAATCCTCCATCGTGGGACCCTCCGATCAGACTCGGAATCCCGGTGCACAAGACATTTCGACAATGGTAAAACAAAACCAGCAAGACCACCCGGTGCGTCGATACCCCGATAGGAGCCACGCGTATCTCGTTCTCAGGACAACACCATCAATGCGAAGTGGATGATAGCCAAAATACCATCAAGTTGCCCCGAGGCGGCATTGCCGACTGCTAGGTAGGTGGACCAACACTCATCTGGAGCACTGGCCCGGGGGGTGATTAAGGGACCTCGGGGGCCGGCAAGTCCCTATGCACGTTTTAGTTGTTATTAGGCAAATGGTAAAACCAATGTTGGGCCTTGCTGGAAGAGTTTTATTCAAAGCAAACTGTCAAGAGGGGCACATAAACCCTCACCGTGTTAGGGACGCAAAATCAAGGAACATCACACTGGGAAACTGGGGCAGCAAGAGTGGAACAAAACACCAGGCAAAAGGCCGAGCCTTCCAGCCTTTACCAAGTATATAGATGCATTAATTAAATAAGAGATATTATGATATCCATGACATCCATGTCGCAACATGGAACAACTTGCAACTGCACCTGCAACTAGCAACGCTATAAGAGGGGTTGAGCAAAGCGGTAACATAGCCAAACAATGGTTTGCTAGGAAGGTGAAAAGGTTAGAAGTTGTTTCATGGCATATTGGGAGGCTTGCTAAACAAGTGGCAGGTAGCGTGACATAGCGATAGCATCGAGACAACTAGCATAGCAAAGAAGTAGTGACATCCAAGGTAACGGTCATCTTGGCTAAAATCCTGCTAGGAAAAAGATCGAATCCATGAAGTAGACGAACCAATGTAGTCGAACGGATCCTCACAATCGCAATGTAACCAGGACTATCAAGGAGAAGCGCAACCGGAAAGAGGCAAACATCATGGTAAACAACCAAGCATAAACATGGCATGATGCACAATCAAGTATGATGCATGTCCCGTATAATGATTCACCGCATGGCAAAGTGCAACAAACAATACTACAAATTAAGTGGAGCTCAATATGCAAGTTGCATATTGAAGAAACACCATATTCAATTATTTAGTTCTCTCTCGTTTAATCTACTCAACAATATTAAATGTTGGTTAACATGGCAAGAGGGTGAACATAATAAACTACCTATCTAGGCAAGTTTAAATGAGGCCGGAAACAACAAACAACAATTCTAGAAAACCCTCATGCGCATATTTCGAATTGGTTACAGTTTTTCCTAAAACCATATTTTAGAGTTGTTAAACATGCAAAGTAATGCCAACATGTTAATCTATGCATTTTTCCAAGCAAGTTACATATATAACTTATCTAATGCGGAGCTACGGTTGATTAGTTATGAAATAAATTATTTTAACAAGTCATTTAGCAATTTTTAATGCAAACAACAATTTGTTTGGTTAACATGCATGAGGGTGACACATTCATGGTTGGGTGCAATTTTCTGAAAAATGTTTGTATAATATGATATGAGGCATTTGTCGCCATGGCGGAGGGAAAAAGGTGCCACGGCGGCGAAAATGGAAATGGTGCCACGGTGATGAAAATGGAAATGGTGCCACGGCAACATTCCGATGATCCGGTGGCTCGTTGATAAACCGGTGCAACAGAGCAAGAATGCGGAGGTGCGAAACATGCTAGTGATGGTGGGGTAGTCCCGGTTACCGGGTTCCCACATGTTGGTGGCACGGTCAAGCGAGGAATGACGTGCAACTTACAATTCGGTCATGAGCATCACATACATAATATCCATTCATCCACGGGCGGTCGTCTCGGCGGTTATACCTTTGTAGCGTGTGTTTTCGGAGTGGATCGGGTTCGATGCGGTGTAGATGTACACAGTGCGTAGTTGAAGTAGTGATACTATCGGTCCTCGGCGACGGTAGTGAAAGTAGTGGTACACAGCGACGGAGGGGAACTTGATGAATCCAAGGTCTTCAGGGGTCTTTATTGAGCTTGTCGAATCCCAAGACGACGGTAGTGGACGTCATGGAAGTAGTGGTACACGCGGTCTTGGTGATTCCGAAAACAGCGGTAGAAGTACTTGGTGTCAATGTGGTCTTCGGGTACTTGAAGATTCCGAACGGGGAAGCAAAACGTAGTCGACCTGACGTTTTAATGTTGTAGTAGATTGAACGTCCATGTAGTCTTGCCGGTGTGGTTACTTGGCAAATCTACGAAGGTGTTCTTGCCAGTCTTGATGGTCTGAAATGAAGCAACACCAGGGCCTCAGGTGGGCAGCAACAAGGAGGCGATGGTGGTGGTCAGCAGGAAGCAGGCACAGAGCTCGTGGTGACAACGACGGCGAACAGAGGCGCGCGGAGAAGCAACAACTGGTAGGAGGGGCGGCTCGAGAAATGAAGGTGCAACGACAGCCTGCTGCAGTGGGTGAGGCGGATGAAGGCGAGGTGGTGGAGGCCAGGTCCGACGTGGGGAGATGCGAGGGGACCGGATCCACCTGTGATCTTGCCAGACCTTGGGCAGAACTGCGTTAGCAGAAGGGGATGAGGGCCAGCGGCGGCTTGAGTTCCTTGCGACTTCCAGGGCGAGGTAGGAGCCGCCGGATTGGGAGGCGCGACGGCGAGGAAGACGGAGATGGTGTGGGGCAGCGACCTGTAGGGTCGTCAGCGCGGGCGCCATGGCTTGAGGCGGGGAGGCACTCGGGCGACGGGAGGAGCTCTGACGTCGGGAAGCCGCAGGCTCCTCTCTAGCGGCGCGCTAGAGAAGACGACGAAGGCTGGGGGAGGAAGGCGTGATGGAGGAGGCCGGCAAAGGCAGGCGCATAGAAGGGCGGCGATGACGGGGCAGGCAGGTTCGAGAGGAGGGGATCGAGGCCACGCCTCCGCCTTTTGTGTGGGTGGCGGCGGGGCACGGAAGGATAGGGAGAGATTGGAGAGATGGGGATCTGTCGGGCTAGGGTTATATGTTAGGTGGGCCTGTGGAATAGGCCGGTCTGGTTGGTCAGGCCCAAGAGGTCGGCGTCGCCGGCTCTCTCTCTCCCTTATATTTCTTTAGCAGAACAGAAATAGAGCGAGGAAAAGAAAGAGAGGGTTAGGGAAAGATTTTGCGCATGGGGTTTATTTTCCCGGACTCCTAAAAATGTGCACGGTCCATGAAAAGTAGGAGTGGGCATGATTGTAAGTTTTAAATTCAAACACCTTTTAATTTAATTCAAATGGGTGAATAGGGAGTGGGGGTTTGGAAGGTCCAAAAATGTTGAGAATTTAGGATGAGCCTCGATAAATGAGATAAGAATAGTTGGCAAAGTTTGGGGGGCAAACTTGAATTATAAAGGCCATGGGAATTATTTGCAAGTGTGTTACAGTTAATTCCAAACTAATGGAATAATTTATTATTGCTCCTTAATAATATTGGGAGACTTTGATATGTTTTAAAGAGAATTTCACCATGTAAATTCCTCGATTTAAATGGATCGAAGATCCATAGGTTTTATTTAGTTGAGTTCTAAAAGGGGTTACATGATGACATGATGCAATGCAAATGATGCAATGATGAAAGTAACAAACAAATAAATAACACAGCTGACACACAAAACATGAAAGGCATCTGGAGCGTTGGTCTCGAGGCATCACAACACTCCTCCACTTACAAGAGATCTCGTCTGGAGATCTAAGGATGGAACCGGAGAGAAGCGAAAGAGGAAGAGGTAAAACAAAGTTGCTTCTTTGACAAACAAGTGAAACCACGAGCCTTGAGAGGTTGAACAAATTGAAAGAAAGAATACAATGGAGATGAACGAGATTGCAAACACTCTATTAGAAAAGAGAAACAAGGAACACCATGTGAACCTTGGAGGCTGCAAAGAAATGAAGAATAGCACGAGGGGCAAGAAAGAATTTGGAACCACTCAGGTTTAAATGAGATAGACAACGAATGAGAAGGAAAGGATTAGGGCTGCACTCCGGTAGAAAGAGAAGAGAATCCTGATAAGATGAAAAGAACTTGAAAAAAAGAACACCGCACTCCGATTAATGGATAAGCAAGGAAAGAACATGATCTTGACAAAACGAGATGATGGTTCGAAGAGTGCAACATCACCATGCCTACGGAACAAAAGAATAGATGGTAAATCGTCGGAATGATAGAACGGAGAAGGAAATGACAACTTCTACCATAATTGAATTTGAAAGAGCATCCTTAACAAGAAGGATTGGACAGAGTTGTTGGAATATCAATACAAAAGGATATGATCCTCGTGAGCTTATGGAGACATCTCAAAATTATGAGGTGAGCTTCTGCCACCAACGGAAACAAATGATTTGATTGAGAGCAACAAGAGATGAGACGCTTCTTTCACTGAGAGAATATGAGCAAACTTGTTTTATCGATGGACACTATAATTAGCAACATACCTTGGGGACGGCTTTAGGTGAAAACTCTAACAAGATAAGTCCAACGAATAGATTTATTGGTTAAAAGGATCTCCCGAACAAGGATAAAACGATGGTCTTAAAATATCTCATTCCTGACAAATTGTGAATCATGAAACATGAAGAGAAATTGTCAAGGATGACATAACACCACCTCAAAACATAGGATAGAAAGAATTGCACTTTGGAATGCAAGAAGAAGAATGCTTGAACTCCTCAAAACAAAACATGTGTTGAGCACCATGTTTATTTTAGAGTATAGCTTGGCGGATCTTAACTTCAAGAGAAATCTTGAAGAAGAATTGAAGAACGGCATGAATCCTTGATGAACCACCATGTTGAGACTTCGTGAAGAACTCCGGTAATGAAAGGATGATGGAAAGAAAGAGCAGTTGAAAGAACAAGGTGAAGCCTTGCAATGATTTAGATGGAGCTTCAGGACGATATAACCAAGAAAACTTGGAACTCCAGAAAGAAAAGATGAATATCTTACAACCGAGAGATTATTCATCATGAACAATCTCCAAAGAAAAGAGTTACTTGACCACGATGAAATGAGAATAATAATTACATTATGCTTATCCTCATCAAATTTAAATTGATGACAAGCAACGGATTTGGCACACTACTTATTCCCATTGAAAAGGATTGAGGAGAGATATAGCCCAAACTTGGGAAGGTCTTAAACGAACCACCGGTAGGATTAAAAAAACAAATGAATTGATATGATAACAACGAAAGAGAAGTCTTGAACATACCACCGTAAGAATTGAAAACGAATGAAGAAAAGAGAACGAAACACCGGGAAGAATTAAAAAATTTGAATGGAGACACTTGAGGGAATTTATATACAAGAGAATGAAGAGAAGTTGACTAGAGAATACTTGAATGATGCACCGGTGAGATTTGGAGATCGATAGCTAAAAACTTAGAGCGAAGAGAATCTTTAGAAATGATGGCCTTTAGATCATATAGAAATGAGAATAGCTCTTGAAATTCTTCGGATGGGTATGAAAAGAATTTCTCACAATCAAAAATTATTGTGAGTATGGCATCAAGCTAGAACCACGAATCTTCAAGAGAATGGAGCAAGATTTAGAGGGAAACTCTTCTTCAGTCTTCAAAAGCTGAGAATGACGATGAGAAACACCACCATGACTTGTTGAGGTACTCCGGAATGAAGAACAGAAAGGTTGAACCAGCGATGAAAAGAATTGGAAAGATCTTGGAAAATACATATATATGACTGATGATAATTCATTCTTACATCAAACTTTGAAAAGAATTTGAGAATAGCTCCGAAAAAAATAGAAGAGTCAGGTAAAATCCTAGCAAAAGACATGTGGGTTAGGTCCCACTCAAAAGAAATACCTTTAAAAAGATTGCTTGAAAAGAGAGATTGCACCGGTTGAATTAAATGGCTTGAATGAGATAACAAGCTCAAAATAGCTTGAACGGATTGATAATGGAGACACAAATCTTCTAAGATATCTTCAACACTCCGGATATGAATAAAGAGAGATAAATAAATACGATAGCCTTGGACAAGAAATTCCAACATGGGAAAACATGTGAAACAAGAGGAAGATATATGATCAGCACTGAATTTTTAATTTAATCCACCGGAGAAGAAAACGAGAATGAAGAAGGATGAACTTGAAGCACCTAAGCATCTTCATGAGAATCACCAGCTAAGAACATTGAAGGAAAGGATGAAGAAACTTCACATCCATAAGATGGATACTTGATTAAGAAATATGAGTCCTTGAAGAAAAAGGGTGGGAGGCGGGAAAACAAAGGCAGCTTGGGACGGATGAAACGAACACCATTGCGAAGAACTGAGAATTGATCTAGCAAATATTGAAAGGGTCGTATTAACTTGAAGAGAAGCACACCGGTTGGAAAAGAATTGTCAAGACAATCTCGATGATCAAGAAGGATTAGTATTCACATAGAAGTATGGGAACACCACTTAGGGAAGGTATGGAATCATCACTTGACATTGAAGCAACTCAAATACCACAACTCAAAACAAAACAAAGGATTTGGCTTGCAGAAATAAGCCAGAAGCAAACATATGATATAGATTTCATCCGAAGTTTTCATGGTGGGGCCCACACGAGCTCGATCGTACAACACCATCATGTACAAGGCAGTGCACATGACATATGAAGCGTCCCCGAGTCAGCATAGCCAAGGACTCTTTAAGACACAACGGGACCACTATAAAACCAACCATGGACATGCGAACCACTAGGCGTCGAACCCCAATCTCATATCATGCATCTGTCGGAAAGATATCCTAGGTAACTACTTGAATTCCCACCTATTAACTCCCGAAACTTTATGGGTATGCAATCTGGTGTTGGGGACACAGGGAGGCACAAATATCTCACACAACTAACAAATCCTATACTCCAGCTGTATCCATCCGTCAACACATAACCAAGAAAACCTCGGAAATTGTGTACCTTAGACCTTCGAAAACATCTGATATACTAGCTGTGGCAATACATCTGATCGCTCTCCCCAGTACTGGGTGTCATCAAACTACTGATACGTCTCCAACGTATCTATAATTTTTGATTGCTCCATGCTATATTATCTACAGTTTTCGACATTATTGGGCTTTATTATCCACTTTTATATTATTTTTGGGACTAACCTATTAACCAGAGCCCAGCCCAGAATTGCTGTTTTTTGCCTATTTCAGGGTTTCGAAGAAAAAGAATATCAAACGGAGTCCAAACGGAATAAAACCTTCGGGAACGGGATTTTCTCACCGAACATGATCCAGGAGACTTGGACCCTACGTCAAGACACAAAAGAGGAGGCCACGA